ATAATCAAAAGAATCTGCTTTAAAGTACACATCAAAGAATACTCTTTCTGTAGATGAGAATAGAGAGAAATAGAGAAGAATGTCTTGTATTTAATCCTTGATTCTCAGACAAATGTTTCAAAGGAAAGATAAGTGATTTAGGCTTGATTCACATGCAAAATAAGAAAATTACCTAAGTTCATGACTTGAAAAAGTAAATCATTTTCTTCTGCAATTTCTAGCGAGCAATAACTTTAACAGCCTAATAAAATACTAATAATATAAAGTAATATAGAGACCAAATCCTTAATTCCTATTTACATTCTTGTCACTTGATTTTAAATTTGGAGCTATGGAGCTTGTATCTCAGCCCCTTTCCAGCCAAAATAAAAGATTTTCATTAATATAAGCACTTGCTTTCTCTTAGTTGTGCACAGCAGTAATAAGACACATTCCCAACAGAGGGAAGAGAGTGATGTGCAACCACCGGATGCCTCAGCCTAATGTGATTAGCGTGTCTGCACAGGTAATTTTTTTTTTCCTCATGAGTGGCAAACATTCCCCATCTTTGTCATATTGCTCAATTTATATAAAAGAAAATGAGTCATTAGGGTCTGGTTATTTCCTGTGAATGAGACAGTCCATTCATCTGTGGCTATACACATTTTCCACCTTACATTCTGCATAGTGTTCTAAGTTACCGTGCATTGCTTTAGATATTGAATGTCTTTCTTTGCACTGAGAAACAAATGCAGAACAGCTCATTTTCTTGTGCTGAGAGGCAGAGCTAGAGCACAGGTATGAAACAAATTGTTCTTAATATAGATGAAAAATGTTTCCCCCAAAGTATTAGAAATTTCTTTTAAGACTAAGCTTAGTGGCTCTTAAAGACAGACTTGCACAATTGCTGTATTAACATCAATTTATGTAAGAAGTAATTTGAAAAGACTTTTAGAAAGCCTGGTAAGCCAAGACGATTACATCTCAGCCTCTCTGCATGCAGTCATTCACCCTGGCCTACCTGAATCAATGTTCCATAAATGAGGGGTCTGCTTCTGGGCTCTGAGGAGCTCAGCCCTGCCAAGGGTTGGCGGGCTCACAAGAACTGTGTTGTTGGAGCTTCACATCTGTCCTGTCACCCAGGAGAGTCATAAGGATACTCACGATGAATGACTGGAAGGACTGAATTTAATAACCAAAATCAGAAGTAGCATTTGAGGTTTTAAATATCACAAGAACAGAAAATGATGGGTTCAAATTTAGTATATACTGTGACCCAAGTTTAGCAAAATCATTCAACAGCGGCTCAGTGTTGACAGAGTTAGGAGGGTTAAAAATAAGCAGTACTACAGTTTCTAATCTGGATGCTGTTTGGGGGAAACAAGAAATATCACGAAATTGCTGCTGATTTAGGTAACTAGGATTCTAGCATCAGCAAGCTCTGAAGTACCAATAGTTGTGTTTGTTTTGTTAACCTATTTGTCTGCCTGCCTTCCTGCCTGCCTGACTCTCTGTCCATCCATCCATCCATCCATCCATCCATCCATCCATCCATCCATCCATCTATGTATTTGGTTCATTAATTATATTCAAGTGACATGTGTTCTGAAAGTTAAATGTTGATAAAGCAGTCAATCCGTTGAATGTTTAGTTCACATTATTTATCACTTCAAATTCTAAAACAGTTACCAGATAGTAGGCCTCTGGTGGTGGGGAGAGATGGCACTACAACTTTACAAGAGGGAGCTAGAATTTATTATGTTAAAGTAGAAGGGAAAATTATTTAATTTGATATAGTTAAGGCAGGAAGCCAATGACTATAAAAGTAAATCAATACTTAGAGATTATTATTGAATATAATGTTTATTGGTTTAAAAAGTACCTAGAATTACCTCAACCAACCCTCAGAATAATTCTGTACATTAACCCCTAAGTTGTCCTCCCTTAGATGGCAGGAAATAAGTGGTAGAAATTGAAATTACATTCATGATTATTCTGGAAAATCACAGGAGTTTTACTGTGATAATGGATTTTAAACCTGCTTTGGATTTTAGAGATAAAGGGTAAAGAAGACTCATCACTGGCTGAAGTTGCACACCACTGGTCTATGTCACAATGTACATGATAAGGGTTAGTAAGTTATTCTGCAGCACTAAGACCTGCATCAAGCAAGACCACAATAGTAGGACTCTGGGTTGTGCTAAATGAACACAAAAAGGTATCAAAAATTAATCAGGATATGGGAATTAAAGTAATAGAAATTTCAAATGCAATTCAATGCAGTTTTGTTAAAAATAATTATTCTACATTTTTCAAATAATAGTTTAATTTATGGTTTATAAATTGAAGTGGAAAATGTATAATTCATTTATCATATGATGACTGGTATATAGTGCCAATCAAATAAATTTCAGGAATTATCCTATTTCCATACACACAACAGACTTATCCTTCTTTCTACAAGGTATATATTTAACTAAATATATGGAAGTCATATCATATGCAGAAAATGTGGAATTGTTTCATCCAGCATTGAGATAGAAAACATAGACAAAAATATTTTTGATAAACTAAATGTCTTTGTACCAGACAATATTCATCTATATTTACAGAAAGGAACTGGTTCATGTGTTTGTGGAGTTACATAGGTTGGTCTCATCCGCAGGGTAGATACTCAGGAGGAGAAGGTCGGAAACTATCCAACAGGTACTAAAGTTACAGTCTATAGTTGCAATTTGACTTTTCCTCAGGTAACCAAAGTTTTTTCTTAAGCATACTATGATCTAATTATGTCAAATGACTCAAATTATCAAGGTTAATGCTTTTTCTTTAAAGTCAGCTGGTTGTAGGTATTAATCATAGCTATCAAACATCTTTAAGAAATACAAAGTACTGAGGATTATAACATGTAGCCACATTAACACGATTGGCTATTACAACATACTGATATACTGAAGGACAGAAAAGCATTGGTTTGGAGGAGAAGGAGTAAAAATATTCCTATTTATTTAAGATCTGATCTTGTATGTGGCATATCCCAAGAAAATTACATGTAAACAACAAAAACATTGACCTAACAGGTAAGTTAAACAAGGTTAAAGGATATAAATTCTAACTCACTAATGCTATTAAAGTTATGAAATTATTTGTAACAAGGTGATTAAATAGAAAGATATGGAATTTCCAGGAGGGTGTGAGATGATATATTGTATATATGAGTTTTGAAGTTATGTTACATAATTTGAACAGTAAATTTGAATCTGAGGCTCATGTTATAATAACAGGCAGTAACTCAATATAAAATATCATCTGTATTACATGTGAGAAGAATTAATGTATTGCAGGGTGTATCAACAGCTTCATACGTGTGGGAAACCAACAGAGAGGACAATATAAAATATATATGAATGAAACTATTACATCAAGAAAAAGAGAAGTTGCTTTCTACTTGCAATTCATAGCTGTTTTTAGTCCAAAATGTAGAGACCTGAAAAAATGCATAGCATCCAATAAAGCTATTTTATGCAACCAAACTACACAATAGAATATCATTTCATGGAAATTATGTATTTAACATGGGAAAGAAGTCTTTCCAGGTAATTTTCCTTAAATATTTAGTGAAGAGCAATTCCTGGATTATAAAGTAATGTCTCTTGTTCAAGGAAGTTGAAATAAAAATGGTAAAAGAGGGAAGCAGATTTCAATTTGAGCAACAGAACAACTTTTATTTTTCAGGGAAATAATTTGGTTTAGTAGGAATCCAGCTTTTCATCACTAATGGAATTCAAACACAACACAGCCAATTGGATAGTTTGTTTTTAGAAATTACCAAAAGCTAATCATCAGTAAGAGAAATTTCAATATTCAAAGCAATGTAAGTGTTTAATGAATTCTTATCAAAAATCAACTAGCACTCTTCACATAAGTAGAAAGATTGGGCCAGCGAGACAACTCAGCGGAGGGACTGGGGTTCGATCCCTGGCACGATATGCCACACTGGGCCCACTGGTGACCTGTGACCAAGTCCTGGTGTGGTGGAGCATGCCTGTAATCTCAGCACTGGGGAGGCTGAAAACATGAGGATCAATATGAATCCAAGACCCTATACCAAATACATTAAAAAAAAAAAAAGAAAAGAAAATTCTGTCTTTGTCCTTCTTAGCAGTATGGCGTGGAGTCATCATTTACTTAAGTCTTCTCTTGGATGATATAATGCATTAGGCCCTCTTCAGTTAGGTGACTGTCAGATCTAAAAAATGTATTTTTTGATATAGTGAAAAGAGCTGAGATATATAAAACATAGTAAAGCATCACTTCTTTTTCATTCTACTTATTTTAAACATTAAGCCAAATATAAAAATATGTGGCAAAATAAATACTTTTATTTTATGTGTTTTAAAATTTAAATTGGTTAATTAAACAGTTGAATAAAAAATAATGCAACATAAATTTTTACAAGTTTAGTTAATGAGTAGTGTTGTAAAAAGGGACTTTTAGTATTAAAAGTATGGAGGCATGGGTCAGTGCGATAGCTCAGTGAACTAAAGTGCAGCTTAGGCAAGCTTAGGCAAGCACAGGGGCTGCAGTTCAATCCCAGGCACCACATGCCACGCCAATCCCACCCCCAGGGCAGGGTGAGATGGTCAGAGTCCAAGCCTAGTGATGCACACCTATAATCCTAGCACTAAGGAGGCTGAAAACAGGAGAATAACTATGAGTCCGAAATGTGTAATGACACCCTGCAACAATCAAATATATTAAAAAATAATAAGAACAAGAATAAGAATATGGGGGCCAGGAAGATAGTTCAGTGGTCTAAGTGCATACCTGGCAAGTGCAAGGACCAGGGTTCAACCCTTGGCACCACACTGCTGGCCCCACACCAAGCAAGCCACCAAAGCTGAGCATGGTGGTGCAACACCTGTAATCCTCGCTCTGGGGAGACTGAGACAGGCGGATCACTTTGAGTCTGAGCTATGTAGCAAGATTCTGTACCAAAAAAATAAATAAATAAAACATTGGTGCTGGCTTCAGCAGTGCATATTCTAAAACTGGAATGATATATAAAGACTAGCATGGGCTCTGTGAAAGCAGGACATGCAAATTCATGAAGCATTCCATATTTTTTGCCCATCGCTTGAGAAATGGATGAAAAAGATGTGATATTTTTATAATGGAATACTACTCAGCTATAAAGAAAGACGAACTCAAATTCTTTATGGGTAAGTGGATGCAACTAGAGGCTATACTCAGACCACATATGTAAATATTGTATTGTCCCTGTAGTATAAGAACCTGAAAGAATAAATAAAACCTGAATGGTATAATAGATATAGTAAAACAGAAAGAAAGGATTAAAATACGAAGATGAGAAAAAGGAGAAAAGATAGGAAGAAAGGAAGTAAGAAAAACATGCAAGCATATGTACAGGATGGCTGAGATCACCATACTCATAATTTCCATTAGTCTTTTGGAAATAGCAGTTAATGTTTAGAATTTTCACCTTGACTAACTCTGCATGCTGATATCTGCAATCTGAGCAACTACATCGAGGACAGCAATGTGTAATACAAAATCCATGGTTGAATACCTCTCACCTTGGTCTTCTAAATGTGTACCATTTCTAATGTCTCATCAATTATTATACTCTCTTTAATATAAATTTAAAAAGAAAGGCAAGGAAAAAAATAAAACTTGAAAGCAAGCACCAATATTCAGTTATTTCAACAATCTCATATAACTATGTCTGTTAATCTGAGCAACAGATTTGACAATAAAAATAGAAAATATAACAACCATTGTTAATTAGCTATTCCTGTTTTGAAAATATGTAACATATGCATTGTTGTATGTTACTTTGTTTCTGTCTTTTTTCTATTTGTTTTTTCTTCTGTGTGTGCTCTTCAAAATTAAATTAAGTTAAAAAACTTAAGAAAACAAGAAAATAGGGAAAGTTAAGTTTTCTTGAAAGCAAGCTCTAACAATCAATTATTTGCCCAATCTTGAGTATTTCTATTAATCTGAGCAATAGATCTGATGATAAAAATAGATAATATAACAACTATCATTAACTAGGTATTCTCATTTTGAAAATCTATAACATAGGTACTACTGTATGCTGTCCTATTTCTCTTTGTTTCTGCTATTTGGTTTTGTTTTTGTAATTAAAAACAAAAACTAGACAGCAGTGTACTGATGCAGAATGGAAAATAAACAAATAAAAAGCAAAAGATTAAAAAAAAATTAAAGTATCTCTAAATACCACATGTACGCATCACTGATCTTTAAATAACTATATCCAACTAAGGAAGATATTTAAAACTTCAAAAATGTAAAATTCATAAGGAAAAACCATGTTTTATATATGAAGCTAAGAACTGAATCTTTTTTGAGACTAATATTTACACTGATAAAAGCTAGTGTATCTGATAATGTATCTGTTCATTATCCAAAATATTGATATGCTGCAGGTTTCAATTCAAATATTTCATACAATTTCTAAAATGGCTAGAGACAATGCTCCTAAAAAAAAAGTCACATTATAGGTAATCCTGAGTGGCTTTTTTTTTTAGCTGCTTGCAAAAATAAAATCTCCTTTTCACAATTACCAGTATAAACTAGATTATCTATAAAGAATATATAACTATCTTTCAACTCATATCCTTCAGGGAGGTTGTTTTCCTTTTTTATCTTGAAGCTTTGTGTTTTGTCTTCTTAAGCCTCTGTGGAGCTCCTTATCCAAAAAGTGATATTAGTTGGTAGCACAGAGAGAGGACAGTTTTCTGTTACCCACTAAGTGTCGTCACCTTTGGATACGAGCAATACTGAAAGCTGAACTTTTGTTCAAAATAACATTTTCTAAAATTTATTTGAAAATATTTATGTAAATATTAAGTTTAATAGGCAGTAGATTTGGGGCCTACCCTTGTGTCTACTTAGATAATTCGGTTTTTGACTGATCACATTTTGATCTAATCCAATATATTTTACTTTGAAGCAGAATGAATTCTGACCAAATCTCTCTTTTTATTTTTTTTTTAGGTTATGAGCCAAATATATATATTGAGGGAAAGAAAGCTCCTGTCCAAAAGAGGGACAGGAAGGGGGCCAAAGTGTGTTGTCCCTTCTGACCAAATTTTACTTCTGAAACTATGAAGTATTTTGGTAGTGATAATATCTCAGCCCTAGTGATATATGTACCTAAGGCAGTTGGAAATTTCCTTTTTTATTTTTTATTTTTTGGCAGAACCGGGGATTGAACTCAGGCTCTTGTGCTTGCCAGGGAAGCGCTTATTCTATTGTGTTTAAAATGAATCAAAAGACATTTTTACAGGCTAGTCAATGTTCTCTCCTATTTTAAAAATATTAGTTGGTGTTTTATAAAAAAAATTGTTGTTATCTGTGAGGGATAGTATTGTAATTTGATGTTTGGAAACCACATGTAATGATAATGCCTGGGTAATCCGCATTTGTATATCTTTAGATATTATCAGTGCTATATGTGCAATTTGCTCCATCATTTACATTGTAGACTATAGTTACTCTACTAAGCTCTGCAACACTAGAACTATTCCTCGCTGCTATGGTTCTGGTACCCATTCTCCACTCTCTTCCTTATTCCCATACTTGCTCCCTTCATCAACCAAGGTGACCTCCACTGTACTCCTACTTCTGTATGAATGATCAAACTTTTCACACCAACACATGAATGAAGACATGCAACATATGTCTTTCTGTGTCTGTCTTATTTCTCTCAACATCTTTTTTTTTAGTTCTATTCATATATGGATAGAAAAAATTTCCAATTTAGAAGTATTTCACATAAAAGTATACTTTCAATGATATATGATGAATGCTTTTATAAGAAAAAGTTCTTCACAGTAATTCATTGTTCAAAAAAAATCACTGTTCTTTAGTATACTTCCTTTGACATTCATTTACATTTCTTGATAGTAATTTTTGTGAAAATAATTAAATCATTTCTCAACATAGTTTTACATAAATTACAATTAGATAATAAATTATTTGAAAATGGTTACATTCTTTCAAACTAACCACATTTTACAATATTGTATTGTTTTTGAACAAAGACTGACATTTTGACTTGAGCGAGTGACAGATTGATATGCTGACTTAATAATGAAACAGCTTTCAACAATTTGACAAAGCATATTTGAGTTAGTCTTAATGCTCTGTCTCCTGTGTTTCATCAGCCCATGCTATATGCATAATGAGTAGGAATCTATGTCAGGTAGCTTGAGGCGGTGAGGTTCCTAGATGTATATGTTAGTAATAATGGATATGGGTATCAAGATCTATTGACACATATTTAAATGTGTTTACAGCATTTCTGTAAAATGTGTGACCAGTAAGATAAATATTTCTGTTTCACAAGTCGACTTTTTTAATAATAGAGAATACTTTCTGGGTACTTTCTATCTATGACGGAATATTCTACATTCTTTTGATTGATTAACTTACCTAATTTTCAAAGCAATCCTATAAAATGAAGCCTATCTTTAACCCTGTCTTATAGATGAGGCAACTGTAGCACAGAATGCTTAAGTACTTGTCAAATTCATACATCTGATTAAATGAGATTCAAGTACAGGGAGTCTTGTTCCAGAGCTCAGCCTGGAAAAATAAGAAGATATAATTACAGTTTTATGCACTTACAGATTATTTTAAATCTACCTGTAGCAGCATTAGATTTTTACAAAATATTCATGTAAGAACATTCAAGATAATATAAAAGATGTCAGGCCGAAGCCAACAATGACATGATCTATTTATAACTTTATAAAAATGCATTCTTATTTAAAATACTGTTGTCATAATCTGGTAATTTCAGTCACTCAAATCTAATGATCTATAAATTGGATATGTTATTATAATTTCATAAAAGTTTCATAGTCATGATTCACATGAGATTTCTGGCTTCAAACCTTAGCATACATAGATTTTATTAGACATATGGAATGTATCCTGTAAGAATACATACAGATGTATCCTGTAAGAAAAGGATATTTTGTGCAGTATTTTCTCACTTCCCAGTGAAGATAGTTCTGTGAGAAAACACACCACGGTCATTGTTCAAAGTAAAAGTTAGAATAGCTTTTATGCACAAAGGATTAGACTGGAAAAGTGAGTTTTACACTGGTTCTTTCAAGAAGATATGAATCTCAACCAGACATCATTCTCTGTGCTGGGCATACATTATTGCTTCGAACAAAAGAGAGAAACACTTTATCTATAATTTTCTTTCACATTCCACCATCTCTGGACCTATGAAAACTTCTGTAACTAGGAACCAAAATTGCCAAAACTTACTGGGACTTAGAAAGCAACCTATATATACAAATGAGATGAAGTTAAAATAGCAAATGATTGGGGCTGGTGAGATGGCTCAGTGGAATAAGTGCTTCCCTGGCAAGTGCAAGGGTCTGAGTTCAATCCCCAGTTCTGAAAAAAAAAGCAAATAATTGAGTCTTGAGTGAAATGGAGTTATCATAGCAGTGTAGATAGAGATTTTTGGGTTTCACTTCTTAAAATCACCCTATTATAACACCCAAATTGGTCTACTTTTTAGAGAAACAAATTTCACTTTTTTTGTAAAATTTTGAGGTTCTGTAAAACATGAATTTCTTTGTTCCCACTTGACTACACAGGATAATGTGTGTAACAAGGAGTCCATCAAACTTAGATTCAATCTTGCTCTACTTTCAAGCACTCTGTGTGACTGGTTCTGACCCCATACATAGATACATAGATTTTCTATCGAATTTCTTTCACCAAGTGTCTGCTTGATCAGGCATATTCTTGAGACTAAACTACCTCAAAGTTAACCTCAGAACAAAGAAGTAATAAACAAATCCTCATAATATATTGTTATGTAATGTATTAGATAATTTATTATCAAAATAACATTGTTTAGATGTTTATAGATAATATGTTAGTAGATACTACATATTAATAGACATATCTATTATAATAGATACCATCTCCACTTACAAGTTAAAATCTAGGTCAAAAGACAAAATTAAGACAGATGCTAAAGAATAAATAAATGCTAAGGACTATAGAAATTATCTTTAAGAAGTGTTAAGGTTAGCAGGTAAGAGTCAGAA